TCATTAGCAGTTTATATTATCCTTATAAATGGTGAAAGATTAAAGTCTTTTACATTGATATCCTAATGACTATAACCAATTGACTGAGGAATGACTAATTCTTTTTATTAGCTAATGATGGATGGTAGTGATCAGCAGTGATGTGTAGAGACAATGAGTAATTGACATTCACTAACGTGCCTATTACATTATAATTTCTAATCTTGCCTACTTACATACTAAAATTAACTAGTTTTGGATGAAGCTACATTTTGATATGCATTTCACAAGAAGAATGAATATTCTTTTATTAGAAAAGTAAAATGAGATCAGTATGTCAGTCTCATTCATGTGTACTTGCAAAGGGATTCTGTAGCTTGACCAGGAAAAGAGATGCTGTTGTGTATTGTACTGTGAAATAAAGAGTTTCATTAAAATAATAATAATAATAATAATAATAATAATAATAATAATAATAACAATAATACCATTTAGTGATATTTTCTGGTATTTCCCATTGCAGTCTTGTTTATCATCCAATAAATACAGTAAAAACATGCATTTGAGCTCTGAAGCACTATACTCAAAATGTCATAAACATTTTGAAGATGATTTCACATACAAGGAAAGCCCATGTTTTTTATATTCTGTGCATATATCTAGTTGCATTAGGACTACAAAGACAATATTGGCACACACACACACACACACACACACACACACACACACACACACACCTGTGAACTCAGGACTCACAGAGGCTGCAGTAGGAGGATTACTTTGATTCTCAGGCCAGTCTCATGTAAATAATAAACCCACATTAGACTAACATATAAGGCCAGATCTTCTCTCAAGTAAATACATGAACAAATAAGTTAGCGAAATGGAGAGACAGAGACACACAGAGAGAAACAAATATTGAACTCACCCCTACTCTGCAAGTGCCTAGACAGATAAGCATTTACCCAAGAATCTGAATTTACATTAAAATTTCAAAAACTCTGGTAGGAACAGAATGTGGGAATACATCATGATGAAAGATGGCTTTAAAATGAGTGGTGGTTTCTAACTACATATTGAGTTATATTGAATTATTTTTAAGACTAAGAAAAGGAAGCGTGGTTTTTAGTGTTTTTTTCTCTAGAAATTACATTACAGAATTTCATTAATTTTACTACATTACTTTAATCTCTACCACTTGCTTATTTAATTGTAATAATATAATTCCACCTACTACAGTACCTCCTTTTTATACAATTTTATATCATGATACTTAGCTTCAAATTTAAATCATAGATTATAACTTATTCATTAGGAATTTCAAAGGACATATCAATTACTCATTATAATACTAGGGTTTTCTTTAGTGAAGCTAATTCAATAAGTTTTAATCCCCTAAACAACATTCAGAGTTACACAGTAATAGGGAAATATACAAATTAAAAGATTTATATAACAGTTGAAAAATTACTGCAAATTCGTTAAAAAAAAGTGTTTAAAAATGAGCTCATCCCAAATGTTGAAATAAGGTTGAAGTATTATTTTCTTAGTTGCAGACATTTTAAAATATTTTAATTGACTTTATTCTTGATAAAATGGGTTAAGAAAAATCAATTTAGATAATGCCCTCCAGGACTTCTTTTAAGTAAGAAATACTGAGGTTAAGAAAACCTGTTAGAAGATATTGTAAGTTCTTTTGTCATGAGAAATGATTGCTTAAAATAGTGCGATGGACTACAAAGTTGGCTCAGTGAATAAATTGATTTTTGTGTGAACACGGGAACTAGAGTTTAGATCTCTAGTGCACTTACCCATGGCCATGAATAGTGGGATGCACTGGCAACTCCAGCTTCGGGGAAGGTGAAGAAAGGGAGATACCTGGGACTCCCTGATCAATCATCCTGGCTTCATCTGCAAGCTCTGGGTTTAGTAAAAGACTCTGTCTCAAAAAATAAGGTCAGGAGCAATCAGAGTAGATATGCAAAGTTAACCTTTGACTTAGCTTCTATATAATCTTAAATTCCCAAAGACACTTACACACACACACACACACACACACACACACACACACACACACACAGGTGTGAAGTGATGGTGTATTAAATGGAGAAGAAAAAAGCATGTAGCTAAGAGCTATGCCTCATGAAGAAATGTACCTCCTGAAACAAAAGAATATATTGACTGATCATGTCAAATATTATATTGGTAGAAAATAAAAAGACTTTTCATAATTGGTGTCATATTACCAAAAGAATAATTATTAGTAGTATTTATAATAAATAAGCATTGTTATCAAATGTCTAGATATTGGCCCCTTACTTCATAGAAAATGTACAACAGGAATTAACTTTGGGAGAACGTAATAATGAGTGGATATAGTTTTCTATTTTGATGTAAACCTTTCATTGTTTGAATTGATTATGTCAAATAATTTGGATGTAATCTATATTAAAGTAGACTTTTACTTACATTATAATTATTAACTCATGCATCTTATTGTGGATTCCTAAGGTATTTAATCATTAAACAGTTGAATATAGAAAATAGTGAAAATGTGATTCCATTCATTATGTAGAGTTTTGAATATTTATTAACAGTGCTTAAATATATAGTTGCCTCTCACTGATTTCTAAAACGTCAGTCCTCTGCTGTAATTATTGGTAGTTTATTACTTAACTTACAGGGAGCAGGAATATTGAATATAGCTGCTGTCATGTTTGTTAATGATCAAGAGATGAGTTAAGTGTACTGTTACCTCAATAAATATTAATATTCTAGTAGAACTCAGCAGAAACCCCAATTCATAGAAACAGTATTGGATTCTGGCCAGTGGCTTGTAACATATCCTGAATCGTAGAAATACAAACAACAGTGTGGTAAATGTTCCTACTACCTAGAATGTAATCAATATAAGTGTCTGAAAGTCATGGCTCTGGGATGTAAAACTACATTATGCATCAGATCATTGCTAAACTCCGGTGGAGTATTACATGGCATATTATAATAGAGTTCATATCGATCATGTTGTATGACTTCATGTGCTCACTATCATTTAATACACTCAAGGGAGACATTGGTTCATCATTAATCTTATTTCCCTAGCACATTTGCATTAACCTTTCAATCATTTTAATAATAAAGGAAAAGGAAACCAAACAGATTGCTCCCAAATATCTGTGAGCGAAAGCATAAATGTGAACCAGAGTACTTAGAGTGCTTCTCATAAAACGCACAGAGAATTCAATCCTGCTGGTCTCTAAATAATTTAGAAGTATTATGATCTCCAAAAATAAAATATATCTACTAGAAAGCTTTAACAATCTACACAAATTTACAAAATAAAAAAATGACCTATAATAATAATATAACAGAAGTAATTGTTATTGTAAAGAGTTTTCTTACATACATACATGACATGGATCATAGAACAGAAAATGATAGATGTTTGCCCCATTATACTTCCATATTATTTCTTTATTGAAAGTGGCTAATGAATTTCTCTAATGTCCAAGCCTCTGGTTTAGACACTGAATGTAACAGTAAGGAAGAAATACATATATCTTGTTGCCCTGAGAGATTTTTATGGGTTAATTGAATGTATAATTGGTAAAAAGTAAAACATAGGTAGTGCATTGTGATACATGAAATGACAGAGTGGATATCAAAGCCAGAGCTGAAGGGTGACGGGTTCTAATCTAAGCAGAGACTTGAAGGCAAAACATGACAGAAAGAGAGCCCAAGCAGAAGGGAGAATGGGACCCTTGGTAAAGGTAATACTAAGAAACCCCTAGAGGACTCATTTTAGGGGGCTGAAGGAAAGGGCTGAAGTGAAATAGTTGTGTGAAGTAGCAGGTCATTGTAAAATCCAGTACCATATATTTGGGTAGACTTTGTTTTCTGCTCAAAGTGCAACGAATATTCCATGTAGAAATAAGACATAACCCAGTGGTGGCGCACGCCTTTAATCCCAGCACTCGGAAGGCAGAACCAGGCGGATCTCTGTGAGTTCGAGGACAGCCTGGGCTACAGAGTGAGTTCAAGGAAAGGCGCAAAGCTACACAGAGAAACCCTATCTTGGAAAACTAAAAAAAAGAAAGAAAGAAAGAAAGAAAGAAAGGAAGGAAGGAAGGAAGAAAGGAAGGAAGGAAGGAAGGAAGGAAGAAAGAAAGAAAGAAAAAAAAAAGAAAGAAAAGAAAAGAAATAAAACATCACTCAACTCAACTGACATAACACTGGAATTACTTGGAGATGCTATAAAGAAAAGAGTGGCAGGTATGGGTTGGAAAGCAGTGAGTAGGCTATTATCAGAATAGATATTAGACACCATGGGCTTCTAGACCAAAGTGAAGACAGAAGTATGTTAAGATTTGCTCCGATTTTGCATTGTATTACACATATAGTTGGCACAAGTAGATCCTAGTGCTAAGTTTATTACGAATCGGTCACTGGAGTAGTGCCTTTTATACCTAAGAAAACCCTAGGGATCCATTGACTAACTCAGTAGGAAGGACTAGCCTTCAACAGAAGGCTTTTGCATGTGTTTGTCTCTTTCTGTTTTTTTTTTTTTAACTTTTATGAAATCTGTGATTAAATTCGAACAAGTAATGTTATCTTACTTGTTAAGAAACTACTTAAATAGTGTTGCTTTTCACATTCCTCATAATTCTTATGGTTTACTTGTAGAAAATTTATTTCAAAGTTTAATTTTATGCTAAATTATGGAAAACTTGACATGTAAAATGGCATCTTTCTACTATACTTAGAAATTAGAAGTCATTAGAACTGTGTTATAAGAGAAAGGGCATGATGATGTTTTAACAATATACTTGAAATTAGTTATTGCTGTCTTTTCTTAAATTTTAGATATTCAAAGATTGCTTCCTAAAACTGAACATTATTTTAAATAAAAGAAAAAGAGTATTCTATTTTTCAATTTTGCTAAATCATTTTCATTTTAAAATTGTAATAAAAAAGGTCATAATGTCTTCCTCTAACTATTTTTAATGTTTGTTTGTTCAAAGCTCTTGGAAATATGTATGCAGCATTGATGAAATGTTGGAAGTCAGCTGAGACACAGTGAGATCTGATACCATAAACAGGACTACTTTTTCATCATCTACACTGAAATTTTTCAAAAAGTGAACTATGACCATCTACCAGTTCTTGAGACTTTTCATTCTCTGGGCATGCCTGCCTCACTTCTGCTCTCCAGAGTTAATGTTCAGAAGGACTCCTGGGCCTCGGCAAATGATTGCAGAAGCCCGTGTCCCAAGAAGTGATGGTAAAATCCTTCACCGCCAAAAACGTGGCTGGATGTGGAACCAGTTTTTCTTACTGGAGGAATATACAGGATCTGATTATCAATACGTAGGCAAGGTAAGTCTGTGTTGAAAAGGTAAATAGTTACACTCTTAATTTATATGTCTAACCAAGGATATATTGAAGATCATCAAAATTCTAGTGATTGTAAATTTGATTTCTAAATTGCCAATGCCTTTTTATTCATGTAATACAAATTGGACTTTGTAAAACTCTCATATGAATGTAACATATTGCAAAGTGTATAAGTAACCTGAACTGGCGATCTCTTGTACGCAGATTGGTAATTGCCACAATTGTTATCATAGAGCTTTTATCCAGTGACTGATGGAAACAGATGGAGAGTCCATAGCCAAGCACTGGCCGAACTCATTAAATCCTGTTGAATAGAGGGAGGAAGAAAGATTGTATGAGCCAATGGGGTCAAGGTCATCACAAGGGAACCCACAGAAACAACTAACCTGGGCTCATAGGAGCACATAGACTCTGAACCAACAACTAGAGAGTCTGCATGGGACCTACCTAGGCCCTCTACATATGTGTGACAGTTGTGTGGCTTGATTTACTTGTGGGACTCCTAGTAGTGGGAGCAGGGCCTGTCCCTAATGTTTCGGCTGACTGTCAGGAAGGCATTTCTCCTCCTGGGTTGCCTTGCCCAGCCTTAATAAAAGGGAGGAGCTTAGTTCTGCCTTAACTACATATGATATATTTTGGAGGCCTGTCCCTTTCTGAACAGAAACAGAAAAGGAGCGGGGGAAATCATGTGGGGAAGGGATGGAAGGAGAATAGGGAGGGGAAACTTTGTTTTTTGATGTAAAATAAATGAACAAATTTAATAATAATAATAATAATAATAATGTCAGAATTCTTTAGAAACATCAAATTTCCCATCTCACAAATTAAGAAGCTACTGAAAGTGAACTTTCATGTGAACTATTTGTTAATGCAGTCCTTTAAATGACAATTTGTATGTAAGTAAACATGAATGTTTATTGTAGCAAAGACATATAAAAAGCATGTTTAATATTTTACAAAATGAGAAACATATAAATAAAAATTTGTCCCAAGGAAAAATATATTGCATATTTAAAATAAAACATGTTTTTTTATAAATATAGTCTTATATTTTTCTTAAGTCACATGTGGGTGTAAGTTTTAAAAATAAGTAAGGCAAGCAGATATAAATTAGCTATGCATTACAGTATGAAATGGACAAAGACAGATGCTTGTTGAAACTATGTTAAGTTTTCATCCAAGGAAAAAATTATTCTGAGAAAAAAATTTCCATTGGTTTTAGAACATTGGTGCATTTTGAGATACTGAATAACTTTACACCTGTTAATTTTGGGATAAAAGGAAGAAAATGGCATAAAAAGTGAAATATGTATTAACTAAAAGGAACAGGAAAATAAACAACAAACTTAGCAAACTCAGAAAAGACAGGAAGTAGCAGACTTTCCAGCTGAGATTGAATGCTTGGCAACAATGTAAAGGTAAATTTTATATATGTTGAATTAGGAAACTTTTAGGTTGTAAATACAATCACATAAAAATAAAGTATCAGAAATTCAAGCTATGGAAGCCATAAGTAGATTTGTTTGCTTTTTTGTGGCACAGCAGTTACTTGATTTCCATCAATTTTACTTCATCTAGTCTTTAATGGGGATTTAATGAATGTTGCTACATTGAGTTATTATTATAGTACATGCTTTTTTCATGATACTTTTCCCACCCCCATCAACAGAATATCAATACCTTGAATTCAAGTACTGTACTTCATGTCTTTGTCTAGTGCTTAATAACTCCTTACCTAATTTAATTATTGCTAGTCGTATTGAATAACACTTCCCAACCATCTGGTGCCACTCGGCCATTTGGCAGAGAAAACTAGTCTGGAATTTAATATTAGTCGGGCCAATTAAAGTTAGAATCATCTACTTACAACATATGCATAATGATAGAGAACCCAACTATAACAAATATGATAGTCCTACTCTGCTATATGAAATCCTAAAAGATTTCATGGAATCTATAAAATGTGTCCAATTCCTATCTTAAGAGTACGTGATGACGTACTATTCCATAGAAGTTTAGCATATGTTTCAACTCTCAAGACTGATGTCTACAGTGTCGATTTTTAGCCTTTGTTTTGTCTTAGTTCCTTGTATATTACTGTAACAAAACACATTAACCAAGGCAACTTCTAGAAGAAAATGTTTAATTAGGCTGACAGTTTCAGAGGACTAGAGTACATGATGGAGGAACACAGGCGTGGCAGCAGACAGCTGAGAGCTCACTTGTTGATACCCAAGCAGAGGCAAAGAGAGACACACTGGTTATGACTCGCATCCTGAAATACCAGACGCCACGACAGTGACACCTCTCCTCCAACTAGAGCAAACCCCATAATTCTTGCCACACAGTTCCATGAACTGAGGACGAACTATTCAAACATATGAGACTAGAGAGCTCATTCTCATTCAAACTACCACGTTTCAAATCTCTTTTATAGTCTCCGTGGTTTTTCTATGTCATTGCCTATCAAACAAATGTTTTTTACTATTGTTCATAGGCTACATTGTATCCTTTACTTATGGATTAAATAACTTATTTTAGGTATATATGCAAAAAGACTGCTAAAATATTACATGTAATATTTTGATATATATTTAATATTCTATAATATTTAACTTTATATCTGCATGTTAATTTGGTTGTAATATACATTTTCCTCATAAAACACAAAATCTCTCAAATTCCTTACATATTATTTCTAGAATTAATTATGAAAGGCTATTACGTAGCCATTTTTCTTCAGGAAATTTATCTTTCAATTTTTGCTTCCTTTAAGACAGACAAGTGCTAGAGATGGCAGTGGTTTCAATGTCTCCAGGTTGATTTGGCTGTAGATTTAATATGCGTTCTAATTGCAGGCATATGGGGGATGGTGACAGACATCCCACTGTAGGAGGGCTGTCTTGGGGCTGAGAACAGGAAGCAATAAAGAGAATGACTCTGGTGGGATGAGGACACAGGAGTGAAGCACACATATAGAGATTGAAAGAAACTTTTATAGACAGTTACATTTTCCCAAGTAAGAACTCTTTATTCTGTAGAGCTTTGAAGTTGAAGGCAATTTAGCAAAGTATGCAGTTAGCAAAAAAAAAAAGACCTCGAAGTCACATCTTACTTTGAACTATTTCTCTTTCAGTGGGTAACTGCGTTTATTAAGGCTTCATTTTTTTTTCTGTCTGTGTAAACAAAGAGGATGTTTATACCAGTGAACAGATCATAAATGCACTTCTACAAATATTGATACATTATTAATGTAAAGGGTATTTAAAACCTCTTTAGAAAGGAAAGAGAAAGAAGAGAGACAGGCCAGAGGCTCAACTGTCACTGCCACGACTTTGTAAAAGTCAAACAGTGAAGTCAGAGTATTTCTTTGCTCGTGTCCCAGGAGTCAAGGATTTTGCTCTAAGTCACACAATTAAGTGGTTGACAGTTAAAATATACTCAACATAAGGTCTTTTTGTTTTTCCTCTCCCATGAGTTAATGCTAACACTGAAATTTCAAACATTTCTTACCTTCAGGAATTTATAACAGTGCACGCCAATTTGTCTATAGAGCAGCCACCCTGTCATCACCTTTTCATGGAAATTGTTAAATAAAGGAACCATTGTCATTTTAACACTTTTTTTTTTCATTTGTCAATATGTTTAAGGTTCAGAAAAACAAGAGTTATCAACTCTTATGATTTACTCATTGAATATCTGTTTACAAAAGCTTTCTAATCACTGTAACCTATTACCAAAACATTGTCCATTAACAGATACTTTTATATTTCTAAGCTTCCATATATTTGAAAACTAAATCAGCAATGGCACTAACATACATACACACACAGACACAGACACACACACACATACAGACACACACACACACACAGACACACACACACACATACACAGACACACACATACACATACAGACACACACACACACACACACACACACACACACATTTTAAATATAGTTTTGAGAAAGCATCTCACAGTGTAGCCCTAGCCTCAAACTCATGATCTTCTTTTTTTTGTTTTTTTGTTTTTTTTTTTGTTTTTTTTTCGAGACAGGGTTTCTCTGTAGCTTTGGAGCCTGTCCTGGACTAACTCTGTAGCACAGACTGGCCTCGAACTCACAGAGATCTGCCTGCCTCTGCCTCTGCCTCGCGAGTGCTGGGATTACAGGCTTTTTTTTTTTTTTTTAATGCCAAATGCAGTTTATTGAAGGAGGGAGGAGACCTTAAATACAGGCTTACAGCACAATGGGAGGACCCCAGAGGGCAGAAGTTCCCTATCGATGTTTTACAATCTTGCATCTAAGCTGTTAACGCCCAATATGCAGGATACACAGACAAGGAACCTCCTGTAAGCATTAAGGAGGGTCTAAACCGCAGGGGATTAGCATAGGGAGGATATCATGATCTTCTTATTGTGTGACAAAAGCTTCTTGGAGACAAATCACACATATCTACTCTCCCCAGATCCGGATCCTAGGACAGACTAAATAAAGTATGAATACCACCAAAGTCAAAGGTGGTGAACCAATGAATTTTAGGGAGTTGCTTACAGTAGTATGGGTGAAGGGATACTTATAGGAGCAGAAATTACTCAAAAACAGCTGCATCATCAAAGCCCTCCCCACTGGTGACAGCTCACAAAGCTGGGAACCTGGAGCACACTGAATAGCTCTCTGGGTTTGGAGAATGTAATTTTCAGGTGTCTCATTTGGTCTAAAACTCTTCCAGGCAGCTTGGCAGGTTTTTGTTTCAAACAGGCATCTGGTGTCCTCTCAAGAATCTTGGCAGCTTGGATTGTCTGGTGTCTTCTTTGCAGCACAGTTTTTGTTTGTTTGTTTTAAGTTTGGCTTTTGTTCTTTGGAGCTTTCCGGTCTGAGCTCTACTCTCTGCTTTCTTGGCTTAATCTGGAAGGGAGAGGGCTGGAGCATCTGGTCAGTTTCAGGAACTTCCTGAAACTATTTGGAGTTGCTTATCTTC